CCGCAAGGAGTGACCAGGAACAATGGTCACAAGCTGGCGGAGGGAAGGTTTAAGTTGGACATCAGGAGGCGCTACTTCACGGTCAGGGCGGCTAGAGTCTGGAACCAGCTTCCAAGTGAGGTGGTGCAGGCTCCCACCCTGGGGGTTTTTAAGAGGAGGTTGGATGACCACCTTACTGGGGTCGTTTGACCCCAGTGCTCTTCCTGCCATGGCAGGGGGTCGGACTAGATGATCTGCTCAGGTCCCTTCCGACCCTAGAAACTATGAAACTATGAAGTGGGGCTTGCAGGGACAGGGAGCGTGTGGGTCACAGCTGGGGGGCACCAGCAGGGCTGTGGGGAGCCAGGAGCTGGCCCCGCCACTGCCCGAGCAGGCAGCACCAGTGGGGGAGCCGGCTCCATGCTGCTTCTGCTGCAGCTGCCTGCTGTTGGGGGCAGGGAGCTGCAGACTTGAGTCTCTGGTCCCATAGCCCTGGCTCCACCAGGGGCAGGGGCTGTGGGTGGGTGTAAGAGGCACAAGTAGGGTTGGGGGGCTGTTGTGGGGGCAGTGAGGCATACCAGCAGGGTCAGGATGGCTTTGGGGGCCAGTAAGGGGCACCAGCAGGGCTAGAGGAGGCTGCAGGGGGCTTTTAATTTTAATAATGGATTTTGGGGGTTTTATCAGAGAATTTGCGATGTTTTGTCAGAGAATTTGTGATTTTTTTATCAGAGAAAACCAGGATCCTTGGTTATCAGGCATGCAGGGGTGCGTCGTCAGGGTCCTGCCTGCTGGCCAGGGGCTGTAGGCTGCTTCCCTGTTATGCTTTCATTAACTTCGGCCACGACACACCCCAGCAAGTCACCACGTGCAGGCGGGCTGCTGCTGGCAGGAGCTCTGCTTACAGCCAAGACCAGTTCCCCCAGCACAGGCAAAGTTGCCTCCAGGCTGCAGCCGGTCTGGTGTCAAACACTTCCATAACATCAGAAACACAGAGGCCCTGAGGACCCATCGAGTGCCCCCCCAGCCCACAACTGGAGGAGGCTCATGTCTGTCTAAACCAGGGGTGGCAGTGTGGAGGGGGCAGGACTAATGTGCGGCATACCTGCCAGAGAGGTTGGATGCCACTGGTCTAAACCAGCCCAACCAAGCGTTTGTCCAAGCTGATCTTGCGGTGCTGGAGGTGCCAGGCCTCTCTAACCCTTTCCAGTCCCTAACTGTGAGGACACAGGTCTTGGGCTCAAAAATAGGAACCTAGGATGGGAAGAAGCCTCCTAGGCCATCACACCCAGGCCCTGCAGGCACAGGGATCTTTCACCAAAGGCCCCCACCACAATCACTACAACCCCTCACCCACAGTTGCAAGGAGCGGTACCCTGAACCCCCCGTAACCTGCCACAGCTGGAAGCCACGGAGATGAGGGCACTGCCAGTCCGCTGCTGCTGCCACAACAGGCCTGCAGTTGAGCTACTATAGGCTCGGAGGAGCCTAGGGAAGGAGCCTTCTCCATGCCACGCAGGAAGGCAGACACCTCCGTGCTCTGTAAGAGGAAGGAAAATGGCCTTTCTGAGCCCAGATCGCATGCCACTGAGCAGAGGCATCTCTGGGTTTCTGGGAGCATCACTGGCAATGCCCTCCCACCGTGCCAGCATCAGCTGTCAGGCACCAACACCCCAATGCTTCAGAGGAAGGCGACCCATCCCTCCTCTCCCCCTAGAAGCCAGGAGCCTTCAGGAGAGGCAAAAACACGTCTGCCTCATTCCCAGCTGGTGACAGCTTAAGCCCTGAAGCCTGGGCTCTTCTCAGCCTTCCCAGGGAAAGGCCCATGTCATCCCAGGTCAGAGTCAGCGTGGCAGCACATTTTGAAACAGCAGAAACGACTAAAGCCAGAATTAAGCTGGAATCTGAAGCCCTAGCACAAGCTGCTCTTACATCACAATGGCTTTGGGTTGCAATTGCCCACCTATGTGCATGGTTAAATCTACTCCTTTACCATAAGCCCAAGCCCCTCTGGCCTCTCGTCTGAAGATGTGACTGAACCAGCTGCAAGTGGCCGTGGGTGAGATGCCGGAGGCTGAGAAAGCTTCAGCCCCTCCATGGTTCAGCCATGTCCCTACCCGCCCTTGGCTCTTGGTTGCTGCTGCCTCCTTGGACGGAGCAAACCCAAGTGTCTGTTCAAGCTGAGGAGGCCTCAGCTTGAACAGGGCGTTATGGTGGGAAAGGCACATGACATTTGCTGGCTTGGGCTCCAACTCCGCAGGCAGCCTGGCTGCTGCTGGGCTTTCCAGTGCAGCACTGGAGACAGCAACCTGCCCCTTGCATGGGCTCAGCCTGCTGTGGCGAGGCAGTGTGGCTGCCCACAGTCGCTGGCTGGTACACAAGTTAAACAGCACTAGGCACAGCATCAGGACGGTCCTGGGCATTTCTTGCAGCCAGGCGGCATTGATAGTCCCCAGTCATTAAGCACAGTGTGTCCATAAGCCTCAGCCAACACATTGCAGTGCTGGGATCACAGCTCTTACAGTAACCATGAGTCGCTGTGATATTGTTTAGCAGCCACTGCACCTCGGCAGCAATCAGACGCGCATGGCATTTGCTGTTGGCCT